CTTAAAACTAGAACATCCCACATCAATAATAATTTGTGAACAATAATCTAATCTAGGTCTACCACTACTCCTCCTAACTCCTGTTTCTGCCACTAATATATTTCTGACTAGACCTTCATGCCTGAGAAGGTGTTCTACTAACCTATCTCGCCTATTTTTTATTGACTTTCAATCCTCTGTTCTCTTACTCTTTCTAATACCTCTTCATTTCTAACCTTCTCTATCCACGGTATCCTCATCATTCGCCTGTAACACCACTTTTCGAACGCTTATAACCTTTTCTTTTCCTCCGCGCTCACCGTCCATGTTTCGCACCCTTGCAGCGCCGCGCTCCAAACATTCACCTTTAACAATCTTTTTTCGAATTTCTAAATTAACCGTTCGCGAGCATAGAAATTACTTAATTGTAAGTACCTACATAATAATTTCTGGCAACAAAGTATGTAACATACCTTCTTTTTCTTTCAAATTAATCCTTCGCGAGCGCAGAAATTATTTCATTTTGAGTTAGACGTACACTAATGTGTTTTAGAGGTGGAATCATGCCTAACTCGGAAAATTTATGAGGAGGAAATATAGGAAAAACCATTTTTCCTACTAGCGATGCGTCGGGTACCCAGTTTGAATTTGCCACGTTTTAGTATTTTGCTTATCAAATTTTAAATTGTTTGCAATAAGAAACTTTAACATAAGTTTATGTACATCTATACATATAGCCGAGTATCAATTGTTTCAATCATCACTAATTTTATGTATTATCTGAGCACAGGTCAACTGCCAATTATCATCTTTTATCATACCAAACTCTACTACGTTCGCTAGCTGTCCTAATATGCTCATTAGCATACTTAGTATGTGCTATTTATTTGCTAAATTTACACCAGCTGATCAGATCATATTGATCTATTTAACATGTCAATAGAATATGGTATCAGGACTGTTAAGCATTATTTTTTTTTAAATACATAACTATGTAATTTATCTACCTATATGCATATTGGGTGTCATCTTCTGTTATTCTCAATTTTTCTTCATTAACTTGAGGTAAATTATAGTAGATAAATTAAATAAATTCTTCATTAATATTTAGTATTAACACTACTAAATATCAAAGTGTTTCATATAATACTAATTAAAAAACGCACAGGATTTTTTGACTTATTGTTAGAGTAAACGTACTATTTTAGCCGTAAGGAGGACTTCTATCAATATCCAAAGAAGAAAGAAATACTGCTATCGAAACAACAGACTAATTAAATCGAAAATGATAAATAGACAATCAAATTATAAATGAATAAACATAACAAAAAGCTAATCATTTTTGATAATAAAAATAAAATTTAAACACCTATTTTACTAATTAATTCTACTTCTAAACAAATGGCTTTATATATAATATAAGTAGATTAATATAATAAGAATAAAAATTGATTTATGTCAGCAAATGATAATGACTACTAGAAAATATTTGAATACAAATGCGATTTTAATGACAAATGGAGTATTATTTAACGTTCATAACAAGTAGAATTAAGCATTTTTTAAATATTTCCCTGCCTACCCCCTTACCTCTAATTGAAGATACGTGTGATACAAAACACAAAAAACTCATAATGTAGAAAATGCGTAATATACTTGTAGAAAAAGTTGTTGCGATAATTGATGCTGCAAAACATGTTGTATATTTATACAAAACAGAGTGCATGTTTGTCCTCTGGTAATCACAAAACAATACAATAACAAACAATAATTATCGCTACTGTCAGTGTTCGTACATGGTGTGCGAAACAAAAATACAATATAAGGAAATGAAATTTAAGTGCTGTGTTCTTAAATGGGAGAAACTACATTTACTTAAATATCACCCAACAATAATTTCTCTAATAGACATGTAAGCCGTTTGATTTCAGAGAAAGTGTAAATGATATCCTTTTTCCTAAACATACATAACTATTATAGCTATAGCGTTTTTGTTTTTTCTTTTTAATATATCTGATAAGTTACACGTCTCTAATAACTGATCTTGTTTTCTCTTTTTTTTTAAATTATTATCGAGGATAACTTTCTTTAGTTGAATAGGACTTAAAATGCTTGCCGCAGATCAGGCACATCATATTACGTTTTCTTTCAAGTCCTGAGTATATTGTTTATGTGTTCGCGTGTGACAATTTCCATGTAGAGTCCATTTCAATTTGTTAGAATTGTGACCTTGAAGAAATCTGCGCGAAGATAGAAAGAATACACACTAGGCGTGAGCAAGACAGAAATAGTAGGAACAAGCTTGAACGACCAGAGCTCTCGATGGGCGGTCTTAGGAGATCGGCCATAACTTTAAAGTACTAGACGAAAATGTTTAGCAATTTCTTAAAACAAAAATGTATATAAATTAACGATAGAAAACAAAGCAAAAGTTTTATAGATGTGTAGAACGTTATGTTAATTCACTTACTTAAATTTTAACGAGGCAGTTTAAATAATTTTGCAAATAGTACTGTACACTTTTGTCTAGCTCTCGCTCGATGATCGGTGATGAAATGAGCTACGCAGAGAAATATGATTGAATTTGGAATTATGCTACGGCGCATCCTAATACAGGGAAGGGGCATATCTCTAACTTCTTGAAACGAAAGTAAAGGATGTTCTGGGATATTTTACGAACCTAGAGAAGAAAGTACGGTGCCATTACCCGGAGGGACTGTCGTACTTTCTTCCCTTGTTTTCTAAGTCATATACTATTTTTTTTAATTTAAATGCAGGTATATATCGAACGAATTTTATATATCTCTATAAGGTAATTACAGCATTTTTCGACCCCTACCAACACGAGTTCAATTTGGAGAAGCTCAAGTAGTATCAAAAACAAAGTATTTAAAAACATAATGACGAAAGCATTCTTTATAGAACTTCGTAATTTTAGTTTTGCGAGTTTACGTTTACATTGTAAAAATCACTTTTTGATAACCCCATTTTTAATTGGTTCATTAAAAGTTCATTGATGTTAGTATGTATATTTTTTTCAGCAAATTCGATAACGTATAGTATTTGAATGCACGTAATATGCACGAAGTTCATTTTTTTTTAATACTGCATTAATACGCATTAATACTTCTCATTGATGCATTGTAAAAATGAAACATCATTCCGTTCTCCGTCTAGTCTGTACAATAGGAGAACGCAGAAACATCAACATAGCAAAAGAAAAGTTAATCTAAGGACTTGCGTGTCATTATCCTGAGCTAATCATCGTATTTCCCGAAAACTAGAACATTCTGCATACTTTCCACATCTTTAACTGTTTGTGAAATATATAGTCTGTCTAGTGACAAGCTAAATCGATATTAGTCTTGATTTTCACATTACATACCACATTATTATATCAAAATGTGTGTTTGTCTTTATATTATTTTTTATAAATTACCTTGTAAATATAAAATATACTTTGAGTGTACAGTATCTACGAATGCAGTAATTTTTCTGTGAGGTGTAAATATTTAAAATGAATTCACAATTTCATGCATTAAAGATAGAGTTAACCGTTAACGTAGTTATTTTAAATAATGATGCTTTATTTTAGAGATAGAGGTAAATGTAAAAAGTTATCAAGATTCAAGGATAGCCTTAAAGAACGGATGATAAATAAAAAATAGTGTAGATCATCGCTAAACGAGTGTTCTTTGCTAATTTTACAGTCAAATGAGTCCCCAAGTAATGAATTTTGAATGAGAAAATAGTGTAATAATGCAGTCATGTATCCGAAAACGTGAAGACGATTATCATAAATATCATTGGCTGATCGTTGGCATTTAACCTTCAGACACAACTAAAATGAATACTAAAAAGGTTAATATATATATTGTGTACAAAAGATCAAGTTGTACATGCGGCTAATTTAAGATTTTTCAGATAAAACTCCTTTACTATCGTGCTTGCTGTGTGACAGCTCAGAGAGATTACAATAAAATTGTTTATAATTTCAAAGAAAAAACACAGTTTGTCTTCGTCCCAACTTATATTATAAATGCGAAAAACGACATAGAAAAACTTACTGTTCCCGAGGAATAGAAAAAAAATTCTTCAAAGGTCCTTCCATCTCTGATGATGGATGTGAATTGGAAGGACCTCTTAATTATTATATTGTTTTTCGCAGCATCCATTAGTAATATACGATAAATCAGCGTTTTCAGTACACGTGTATTAGAAAATGTTTACAAAATGGATCAAATGCAAAAGGAATGAATTATCTATTAGTTAATTAACTGTATTTTGTAATTATGCAGATTCAGCATCATAAATATGCCGCTGAATAATTAAAATTTTATTATTATTTATATTGAAAAGCAAATATTTTTTTAAATAACGGAATTTTATCATTCCAACTACCAAAAAGGTGATTAAAAAGAAACTTAAATAATTTATCATAAAATTTATTGCATTTTCAATTGTTCAAAAATTTCTTTCATGTATGTATATTTAATATTTTTACGTAGAATCTTGTTAATTTGCTATCGCTGTCAGAGTTTATCAGAATACATATAACAGGAAACAGAAACAAATGCAACCGGTATGATTTCAAGATTTTTTGATAATTAACTTTTATGTATAAATACACTTTGCGGAAAGCGGTGCTGACAAGGCTTGCAAGGTTATCGTTATCAGACAAAGGTCAAAGCAGGAGATATTTCACAAATCGTTTGTTTTTATGTTACACTAAATAGATTTCAATTAAATTATATTTTGGTTAAAATTCTGATGTGTGACAAATTATTGATTTTTTGTACTACAACTTAATTTATGGTGTCATTAAAACAATTTAAACTAAATGATTAGTTAATTGGTTTACCAATTCCAGTTATTCCACAAATAATTAAAAAAAATATTGAATGTGATTATTTATATATCTATACAATTTTGCTGCGGTTCCTATTTTATATTAAACACAAAAACACTTTATAAATGAATTAATAGCAAATAGTATCTAATTACTTTGTTTTTTATTTCAGTGGGACAATTAAGTTTATGCGGGCCTAAAACAGAAATATCTCTAACAGCACATGGTAAAACCTCATCAGCCACAATCAATCTTCTACCTAAAAGTAATCACTTACAACGTGGACAATGTAAATTAAAAGTAACGGCGCCTTCTACTCACATAATTTATATGCAATGGTCTAACATCAATAGTCGAATAGATGACAGATTATCTTCGAATTTACCTTGTCCCCTCAACGTGGTAAGTATTATGTAACAATAATTGATATTTATAAATAATAAAGAAATTTAATTTTAATCCTCTTTTAATCAATGTTGTGATATTGTTTTAAAAAATTGATTCGAAATACAAAATAAAAAAATTTCATACTTATATTAGCTTTGGATTTATTATTTTTAATAAAATTAAGTCACTGTAGTTTGCACCCAAATAAAAATAAGAATTACTTTTCAGAAAAAGGCAATTTAAACAGAAAATAGAAATAGATACTTTGCGATTGGTATTTCTAATTAATTGTATGTCATCAATAATACCTATTTTTATTAAAAATACCTATACCAATATTTTATTAAAAAATTAAATTAGGGAAAATCAGACTACTAAATAATTTGTAAAAATTCAGATAAGACGTTTTCTTGATTAAAGCAAATGAGTATACTGAAAACTAGGATATAAGAAACGTCTGTGAAGTAACATGCTTAGGTATACTGAAACATGTTTTTCTTTCAATGAAAATATAGCATTTCTCTTATAGTTTGTGTTGGAAAATAAGAAATCTCCCGTATGGAAAGGTGACCCATGTTCTAAAGAAGCTTTACCAGATGGTCAACTTTTGACCCCGCAAGTTAGATTTATGTGGTCACCACCACGATGGGCAAATCACACAAGAGGAAGAAAACTTATTTTAACAGCAGTTGGACGCGGTAAATAATAACCATAAATTATTAATTCAAAACACTCTTCCTCTTGAATCATAAGATCATCAGTCCTAAGTCTGGTTGAACATGCACCTCCACCCTTTTCTATCCTTAACCAATTTTCGCATTTCCCTAAAACTAGAACATCCGACATCCTTAACTATTTGCGAACAATAATCTAATCTAAATCTGCCTCTACTTCTCTTAACTCCTGTTTCTGCCTCTAATATGTCTCTGACTAGACCTTCATGACTAAGAAGGTGTCCTACCAACCTATCTATCTTTCATATTGACTTCCATAAAGTCCTCTGTTCTCCTATCCTTTCTAATATCTCTTCATTTCTAACCTTCTCTATCCACGTTATCCTCATCATTCGTCTGTAAAACCACATTTCAAAGGCTTCTAACCTTTTCTTTTCCTCCGTGTCCACCTTCCCCGTTTCACACCCGTAGAGCGCCGCTCTCCAGACATACCCCTTTAAGTCGTTTTCGAATTTCTAAATTAACAGTTCGCGAGCATAAAAGTGACTTATTTTTATTGAAGGCGACACGACCGTGCGCTATCCTCTGCTTTATATCCCTACTACTCTTTCCGCTCTGACTTATCTAACTTCGTAGATATCTAAAATCATCCACATCTTCTAATTTTTCGTCTCCTATCTTTATATTCGCTCTTTCCCTACTTTTTCTTCCCTTGCATACCAGTATTGTTGTTTTACATGTATTTATTTTCATTCCTCTTGAATATAAGGGAAATATAATTAACATTTACTATTGATACATAAAGCCTATATAGAGTGTACCCTAAACATTGTGAACTGTAGACCAGTGACAGGGTACGTGTGCGTAACTTAAATGTCACTTCTAATGGTAAAAATGTTCCTACCCACAACCCCAAAAATTTGGTCGACAGGCCGATAAATCAGCCAAGTAGCGCGTTTTCTTCGGACTTGATGTATAATTACCGAGATTTTAAAATAAAAATGTATATATTTTTATCAAAATGAAATATAGCCCACATTACTCAAAAGTTGTGCTAGCTAAACCTTTTCCCTTTTCTTTAAATTGAAAACTATATTACCGCAAAATCCACTGATGAAATAACCACAAATAGAACGACACCTACTCAGCGATAGTGTAAATTTCCATTAGTCAAAGAATTTTTAAAATCAAAGAAGTCAATTTTACCTCATTATGATATTACTGTAGATTATTGAGGGTATTTGGGGGGTATGTCAAAATGCTACGAGATAAATAAAAATTTGAAAGAACATTCCTCATTCAATTCTAAAACTCCTGTAAAAATTACAAATCGATTCACTAAACCGTTAAAAAGTTCTTGAAATTTTAAAAAATTGTAATTTTACACGTTATTTTATGGAGATTCGTTAACCGAACAGATTAAATTTATTTTTATTAACAGAAAAAAAGCTACCTGAAATTTCAAACTTTTATAATAAGTAACTTGAACTCTGGAGAATCACTTTAGCGTATGGTTATTCAAATTCACTAAGTGGTTATCGAAGAAAAAATGAAAAATTAGCTGAAAATCTCGTTTTTACTTGATAATATAATGATAATATTTATAATCGTCTGATATAATGCAATTTTAAAGTTTTAATTACTATTTAAACGTATTAAAAAGTTTTACGCTCATTATTAATAGAGATTGAAACTACATATTTTTTTGTTTCGAAGTTGAAATCAAGGCATATTCACTGCCAAAAGTCAGTTAAAAATTTTTCGTATTATTCGTTATTTCTTAAGTTTTTGGTCAAATTCCAAATTTTCTCTCAAACCGTTTACTTTTTTTATAGTATAGATAGTATTTATTTACCTCATGATATGCTGCAAAACCTATTTAATCACGAATTTCTAATTTTATGTACTCTTGTCTACGATTGTACCTCCCAAACATCCTTAAGAGCCGCCACTGTAATAATCACTTTACCAAATCTTCATTTATACTATAAGTCTTGATGGCAAAAATTGTTTATAATCATTCAATCACAATATATATATGGAGCTGAACTCTCTATATTGCATATTAGCTCACAAAACAAAAGTCAATGGATTATTTCTTAAATCCTGACTTTTGCAACTATAATGATGCTACATGAAAATAATATTTTTACAGGTGCTGTTTGCAAAAGTGAAGATAACCATGCGTGTTTGAAAATTGGATGGGATCCCGTTCTTTGCGTATCCGATAGTCTTTTATGCGACGGAATTGTAAATTGTCCCAAAGGATGGTCACAAAGCGACGAAGATGACCAACTATGTCACAATGCGAACGTAACACCTCAATTGCTGCCGAAGGTTGTGGAGTTTTTCAAAAAATATGTTTCGTTAAAAAAGGAAAACAATATTGGTGGGAGGGAAACTACACACGAACCTAATATAATGGAGTGGGATATTTCGGAACGTAAGGGTACATTACTATTTTGTTAGTGTAATAGAAACAATTGAAGCAGGGATATACCCTACATTCCCATTTTGGTTACGTGTACGCTTTAAGAGAAACAAGAGCAATACAAAAATCTTAGGGATCGTCCATAAAATACGTCACTCAGAATTTTACATTTTTGGACCCCCCTTTTGGATCCCTCCCCTTCCTTCATTACGTCAAGTCACACTTTCAGCTATCCCCCTTTTGGATCCCTCCCCTTCCTTCATTACGTCAAGTCACACTTTCAGCTATCCCCCTTTTGGATCCCTCCCCTTCCTTCATCACGCCAAGTCACACTTTCATCTATCCCCCCCTCAACAAATATTACATCACAAAAGCTAGCCCACTCCCCATACTTTTCCTTAGCCCTATCCGCCCTTGTTATATCTCGTTATGCTAAGCAATACCCCAACTTTCTTCCTCTTTTTATATACAACCCTTAATTCAGTAACATTGCATTCAAACGTCAACAAGGTTCGATATAAAATATATATAAACTCAAAAAAACATACCAATCAATAGATACCAGTTGGCCACACTTTTCTTTGGAAAATTTTGTCAAAAAAGTTTCCCTGTAAAAAAAAAGAAGAAACATATAACCAAACTATAAACAATATAACTTCTTCAATAATAATTAAATGGAATGCGGATATATAAAATCAAAGACAACTGATAGAAACGTTTACTAAAGAAAGATCAATAAATTTCTTAAATATGTATGTAACATCTACAAACAGTTGTCTTTCTCATTCGACACAAACATATGAAGAATTATAATGACTTGATAAAAATTAACGGCATACCAATCACTTGTAAACATCATTATCTTTTAAAAATATAGTATACGTGATGTGTGTAGGAATGTAATGTAATAAAGTTAAAAAGTGTAATTTAAAAGATTTGACGTGCACCCTAGAAATTATAGAAAACTAATGTTAATCTAACCAATAATCAAATTAAATTAAACAACAAAAATTCATCCTTAATTCTAATAGAATTCTCCAACTTTCAGGAGATGGTACAAAATGAACATAAATAACACTAACTAACAATGTTATATTTAGTACTTTGTATCTTTTGATAATGACCTAACGGCAAAAATGATACCCTCATGAAACTTGAATAAACTTTATAAAATGAAATTATTCCCAAAGTATTTTTGAGTTTTATAAAAAAAAATTCATACTGAAAGACTAATTCTAAATTATTACATGAAGAAACCAAATAATAACTCTAAACATTTTTGTTTTTAGTATCAGCTAAATCAGATAATGACCAGAGCAAAACAGAAACCAGTACGGACTCCGTGTCCGCAGCTTTATCACACTACGGTCCATGGGGCTATCTCATGCTGGGCATGCTGATATGTGGAACAGTTCTAATGTTCTGCGGTCTTTGGGAATGCTGTTTTCGGAGACCCAAATCTACAAACGAGACCTTAACAACACGACAACAGCCCACAACTGTTCTTATATTGAACACTCCAAACAGTGACACGTCTACCGTTCAACAACCCCCTAATTACGACGATCTAGACCAACCCCCGTCGTACTCGGTGCTGTTTCCTAACAATAAGTTACCGCGTTTACAAGTAGAATCAGAATGTGTGTGTGCTAACGCTAACGAAGCGAGTGAAAATTTAACGAGAAACTCTGGAAGTAATAGTGCTACCGAAAATACAGGAAGTGTTGGTGAAAGCAGTGGAAATAATACAAATAGCGACACTGGCCCTGGGGGTAGTGGTGCAGCTCAAGAGAACAATTCATGAATATAAGCAACAAATGTGATATTTTATTTATCCTAATTAGATTCTAATACCAATTGTGCAGTAATCATAAAAACACGAACGAAACCTAAACAAGATCTCATAAAAAGCAACATATATGAAAATTACAAGTATAATATTCTTTTTCGGGCACTGTTTTGTCAAAAGTATAAAATTCTCTTGTTAGGCAGATATATATCAAATTAAAAATAAATGAAATTGTTTATAATTTCAAAGAAAAAACACAGTTTGTCTTCGTCCCAACTTATATTATAAATGCGAAAAACGACATAGAAAAACTTACTGTTCCCGAGGAATAGAAAAAAAATTCTTCAAAGGTCCTTCCATCTCTGATGATGGATGTGAATTGGAAGGACCTCTTAATTATTATATTGTTTTTCGCAGCATCAATTAGTAATATACNAAATGAAACGTTTTTGGTGTTTTTATGATTGCTTTCTTTTTAAAAATTTTATATTCTCCTGATGACTGCTGATGTGCTACAAGTATGTACCTAAACCAATTTCTGTAATAAATATTAGACTTGCTTTCTAAAGCGAGTTATTAAGACAACTATCTTTTTTTAATTTGATTAAATAACCCCTTATTACATAAACTTATTAATTTAAACTATTCCGATTAGTATCATCTCCTAATTGTCATAATGAACATTATTTGGCATTAAATTACATCTTGTCTTTAAAGCCTTTTTGAAGCTAATAAACTCCAGAAATGTTATTTTCACAAAAACTACTTCGACTATGACTACAAAAATTGTATAAGACTACTTTCTTATTCAAAGTAATGTAGAATTCTTACAAAAAAAAACGTAAAAGGGCGAATACTGCACTTAAGTGCAATCCGAAATAAAAATATAAAGCAGTTCGTTTACCTTACAATTATGACAAATTGTCAAAGACGATTGTCAAAACTCTGAAACTAAACAAATGGGTTTAGAATGGCTAATAATGGTAACGAATTTGTTTTTCTACGTAAAAGAGGAATTTCTAAACAACCAGGTACCACCTAAGTAATAATTAAAGTTGTACTCCCTGAGAAATCAAAATTTTAACCAAAAATTACCTTTTTAGCAACAATGAATTCATCAATAAATGTCTGCTTACAGCCTAAATTCAACCTATATTAATATATGAAACACTTTAAGAAACTTTTAATAGCGTTTAACATTTAATAATATTTAAACATTACAAATTACCTCAAATTCATGAGGAAAAATTGTTGCTTCTGTCACACCTTCACCGAAATATTTTTCAAATACACTCGAATTACAGCTCGAGATTTTTCCTAACTCAGATATTACTTCTCTTTAATTCAAATTTCTAAATCGAAGTTTTTATGTTTGTTAGAAATTTTCTTTAAATTGAGTATAATTGGTGTTTTTTTTACTGTATTATGGATTCCCAATTAATTCTTTTTCATAATCATTTACAACGAGCTGCTATATTACTATATCATAAAAATCATCGAAATAGTGACTATACGTTTCAAGTAATTAAATTCGTAAGTAATTAGAAGCATAAATAAATGAATCTGGCATAATTAAAACAAAAATATGAGTGGAAGTTTTAGTTCCAGACTCTTCACCACAAACCAATCCGTTATTCTTTGACGAAGGTAACGATATAGTAAATTGCTTAAAAAGCATGGTGTATAATACGTGCAATGAAGAAGGAATATGTGAGAAACCTCAACGCGAACGGATTTGTTTGTATCCGGAATGGAAAAGTAACCTTCCAAATTCACCTAAACAAGGAACCTCAAGCCAATGGCCGACCTCAACCAAACCAACTACTTTAGACGATAACAAACGAAGCAAGGATGAATTAAACGATTTCATAATTCCTTCACTTAACTATTTGACTCAATTATTCAATAAAATAATAGCTCAATACAGAAGCTATTGGGAAATGGAGAAAGAAATGTCCACACATTCAATACGAAGAGGCCAAGGTAATTTCTTGCTTAATATGTATATTAAACTATTTTCAACTATAAACATCGATGGGGACTTTTGGGATTGTGCTTTAAAAAGACGAAAATCCATGTTTTCCGGATATTTTTCCAAAGGTATCCCGAAAAGGGGTCGGGGGTAATTGGTCTCATTTGATCGTGCACCAAAACGACTTCGACGAGAAAAGTTCACACACGAATAGCTTAGTGAACTGCTTTTTAGTCACCTAAAAATAGCTACATTTTCCTATGCCATAGTTTTTCACGCGGGCAATTGACCGCGATCTATTTTCCTCTGCGAACTTTTCTTGTCATTCTTGCGTCGTTTTGGTGGGACCAAATGGGCGCGATATTTTTTCGTATCTCCATCTTTCAGGAGATGTAACATCGAAAGAGCAAGAAAAAATAAAACTGGACCCGGTAAAAACAGAAAATATGTTTGTAGAAGATTTACAAAGAAATTTTATGCGTCTCATAGAATCTATTCGAAGTCTTGCTTTAACCAATCGATTTAATTATCGTGAAATTATTGATCAACTAGAATCAATCTTACTGAACCACAGAATAAGAGGGAAAACGCTAATAGAAATATACTCGGCCTACAACAATTTTAGGTAAAAGGATCAATTATCTTGTAAAAATCAAGAAAGAAATGAACATATAAATTTTTAGAAGGGAATCAGGTTTAGACACTTCGTATGAAGAAAAAGAAACGTACTCAAAATTTCTAGAAGATTTTTTAAGCATGGGAAGTCTTAACAATCTTAACATGAATATCGAGGAACGATCAGCTGAAGAGGAAAATTCAACTTTTGCTTTTAGAAGTAATGAACCACCTGATCATCTTTATTTACGAGAACTCATGTCATTCCCTCCAAGAAAACCTTCAGGATTTAAAAACAATTACGAAGCAGAATCGAAAACAATGGCAAATGCATATCATCTTATTCCTTCCATAATGGCAATATGTGAAAGTGATGATGAAGAGATAGAAGCAAATATGTCTGAAGAATCAGGAATATGTAATAATCAACGACATCAAGGTACCGTAACGAAGAATTGTCGTGTTTCATTTTCACCTCTTATTTATTTACAAAAAAATCCTCATTTAATAGAATTTCTTTCGAACATCAATAAAATTTGTTATAAACCACAAATTCACCCGGAAAACAAACCAAATGTAGTTCAAATGGAAATGAGCAGGCCGCATTTCCCTTCCGAAAACATAACCAGTCAATGGTCTTCACACATCCAAAATCTCCAAATATTGCATGACACCCGACTAATATTAAACGGAGACATTAATACAGTCAATCGTGAGTCCAGAAAGTCTTTTATTTTGGATATGGGAGGAAATTTTGGTTCAGTTGAAATGGCCCTGAGTGCAACGGGACAAGCTTTGGCATTAAAACGCATCCCTAAAGACTACCCTTTAAGCAACGTATGTAAATAACAATTTTGAATAATTGTTTTAAAAGGAATAAAACATCAAGGCAGTAAAGTACAACAAGTAAAAATAAACATTACAAATTATTAACAGTATCAGATTTACATTGCAACATAGAATGACTGCGAATTTTTTAAAATTTGAAGATGAAAACAATTAAAAAATTTTATGAAGCTGAACTAATTTCAATCGGCATATAACCCCTTTAAAAATTTATTAGTGATACTTTGTTAATGTATTTTGGATTCTGTTTGTTACAATGAAATACGTAATATTAATCGCAATAGTATTAACACGTAACCAATACGTTAACTAAACGAACTACACCCCTTAAAGCATCGGGAGTTACTGGCTCAAGACAGAGTAGTTTCCTTGTTTAAGTAGTTTCTAGATATCCGATTGGATGTTACGCTTCGCGGCAATTTAAGGTCCAATAAAAAATTAGGTCAATTTGCACCTGCTTCACGGTGGCGCTTACAGGTGGTATGCAAAGAATGCTGAGGCAAAAAAAGTTCATTCACCTTACAAACCGTTCATTAGTACATATTTGCAATACCCAAGTGATAGAAACTATAACTCGGACATTTCTTAATCGATTTTAATGCGATTTTCAACAAAATTTACCAAATTTCACAAAGAAATGGTTGAAGTGTACGTATATAACAAAAACGATATAATTCAAGCAAGTTAATAAAAAATAAAAACTAAAAACGAGTTTTTGTAAAGGTCCTTAAAAATATCCTGAATCCACTTTTGGGACTGAGACATAACAACGTTCTTCATTACTACGCATGCGATTATGAAGAAAACGAATTAATTTTGGCAACGCCTCTGTGTGAATATAATTTAGGGCAATATCTAATGTTCATGAAAATGGCACCTGATATCCACCTTCCTCCTATTGCCATAATTAGACAAATATTGATTGGATTAAAGTTTCTGCACGACAGAATGGAACCAATTATCCACGGAAATTTAAAACCATCCAATACTTTTATCGACTTAAATGGAAGTGTGCGAATTGCTGAATTTGGAATGCACAAAGTGAGTTAAAAATTTAGAAGCTATCAATCACAATTTACTGTCCTGCTCAATATATAGTATACATATATATACTTTATAATTTACTTTTGTTATAAACAGGCGCTATTTAAACTAATTGAGCCCCCTAACACATCTACGATTTGGTTTTCTCCAGAAACTTTACGAGCTTATAAAAAAAGCATTAATTTAGAATGCACTTGTGCGTCTGATATTCAAGTGGCAGGTAAATTAATTTCAAAAATTATTAATAAAGAGAAACAACATTTTGAAAAACTACTTTTAGTTTTACTATTTTTATACGTTTATGATTAAATGATTTCATGTGATAAAAAATTAATATAAAGAAATTAATTCATTAATAAACCAAATCAAAAACTATGAAAAATCATTTTGAATTTTCCAAAAAATATAGTAGCTCATGAATAAAATTTGGTAAAAACTATTTAACTATTAAATACAAATGCACATACCTATTTTAAAGTAAATTAATTAGTTTTATCTCTATTATTACTGAAAGGTATGTTGATTCATTTTATAATTACTGCCGGCAAACACCCCTATGGAGAGGAAATGGAAGAAATATTGGATAATTTAGAAAAATCAGTCACTAAGGTTACACCAGGTGATGTAGACCTACACGATTTAATTTCCTGGATGCTGTTACATGAACCTAATGATAGACCAAATATACATCAAATTTTGTCGTAAGTACAATAAAGATAACTAACAGAATATCCTACAGGCACAATATAAATTACCTTCCAGATTATTTTCTTAGCTACAAGAAATTAATTTTATTTCATTTCTAATTGTCATACCATGTATATTTTTCTACTGTCTTCTCTAAGGTCATAACAAAGAATACCAAAATTGGCTAATTAGTGTTTCTTAAGAATTAGTGTTCTTTAAATTGCAAATTAAGAATTTCAAAACAAGCACTTTGGAATGTGCGATGCCCATAATAAATTTTGGCTTTATACGCTCCTGTTTTTTATTAATTAGTAACTCACTAATTAACAAAAAAAAGACCCTAATTTACGTTAGAAAACCCGTTAGTGTAAAGGGAAAAACACGCAACATTTGCTTCAAAAAAATATTACAATTCTCTTACAATTTCTGCAATTATTTATTTCGTTTAACGTTATGCCAAGTAGCAACTGTTTGATGATGGAATGTAGGTAATAAAGTAATGTTTTTTAGACATATAACATTTTGGTCGGTCGAACGAAAATGGAGATTCATGCTTGCTTGCGCAGGAGTAGATCAGCATGGAAAACCGTTAAATATACCGCTACAGCAATTGCACGATCACATAGATTTTGTTTCGAGAAGGGATAAAATAAGAGCGAGTTGGGTTTCGATAATCAAAACAAAGTTTCCAAAACTTAATTTGATTAGCGGTGACGATGACTCCGCTTCTGGATTATTAAAATTGATCGGTAATACATTTAGAAAATTGATAATAAAAAATCTATAACACGAAACTAAATATCTACCATAAATAATTTTTGAAATTTAACGCTAAAACGTTATAACGGAAAACTGCGAATTGCTCAAAAATTCCGTATTTTTTTCCAGTATTTTAAGAATTATTTTTAAAACAAAGATTAACTGGTTTAAAATTTTACGTAAAAAAAAGTTTTGAAA